CACATTAAAACATTATTGATTCTTTGGCGTATTGGCCATTTTGGACGTACTAAAAACGTTAAAGGTTTTATAGTATCAATAGGTTCTTTAGATAAATGTAAATCATATTGAACAGCGCCTTCAAGTACTTTTGAATAATCATCGATACAAACAGCGGAGGCATCGTTGATAACATTTTCGACACAACTTGCACCAACTTTCACTTTAAATTTAGTGTTTTTTAAAAGTTCAGATAAACTTTTCGATCTATCCAGACCAGTAAAAATTTTTAAAACGTTCACTGAATTATTGAGATCTTTGAAGCTGTCGACATTCTTTTGGAACTCTGGTTTAGTTAAAAATTTCGCTAGATTACCCTCAAAAGTTGCATGAATAATCAAAAAATATAAAAAAACCATTAAAAAAAATATTTTTAGCGATAAAGAGTGAATTTTTGTATCAATGGCCGAATTAATTAAGAGTTTGAGAATTTCGAAAAAAGCAAACCATAAACTTTTATTTTTTGAAGAAACTAATATAACGATAAATGTAATAAAAAGGATAATTATAGTTGCAATAAGAGATATAATCCCATAAAAATTACCTATTTTTTCTAAAGGAGACAACAGCCCCCTGTGTTGTGATAACACGTAATTTCCGGAATATATAACAGGATAAGTCATAACATATTGATGAAATGGTCGGTTAATAGTTTTTAATACTAAATCTAATTGTAATTTTTTGATTTCTTCTAATTTAGATATTCGTTTTTCTACTATTGTAATATTCAATGTTTTCATTATAATAGTGGCAATTATTCTGTTGTAGTTTTCTGAATTAGTGTAAGTTTGGTTGACGCCAAGGTTTAACATCATTCCATTCAGTAATTTTGTCCGGTCAAAGTGTAAATTCTCGCAACTGCTTTCTGCAATAATAAAACTCTATAAAAATTCGGATTTGACTGTACAATGAACAAGTTAAATTATCAAAAAACTTTTGAAACGTTTTAAACAATCTAACAAACATTGCTATAGAGATTAATTATAATTCATGTAATATTTTCAATATCAATATCATTACGTCTCAATATAAACATCTATTGGGTTAGCAAGAAAATAGTAAAATATTTTGAAAAATTTATAAAAATATATTAAGTATTAAGTATTATGATGTTACCGCAATGTCTCTGCTCTTATGGCGGACACAAGTTATTGATGCACATGGTGACTGCACTGCAGATTAGAGTTTAAAGATGATTAAATAAAAAATGGAATTAAAAGCTGTTTTATGTACTTCAATATTTTCTTGCCAGGCTTATATTTTCCAAGTGAATTCTTAATTGATAAATAACTTAAAATAAACTAACCTGGATGAAATGTTCTTTTGAACATATACCACCCATCACCTCCTTCTGCTTTCGCCCACGGATGTGGTGCTACATCAGCATACGGATTATATGTATAGATCATCATTATTTCATCGTTATTCATGCATATATAATAAGGAGCGATCAAATAAAATCTCCATGCTATTCTTAAATGCCCTCTTGCGTTCGCACAGTTTTTATCAGATTTATTCAATATAAAAATAGGTGTTGTAACATCCCAAAAATCAATTAGAGTCAATGCAGTTAAAATACCAGTAATCTGATATGAACGTATTATTGTAATTGCAACAGTGTCTATCTTACGAAAAAAATCTTTATTTTGAAAAGTAGCATCATGAACACGAGAACTGATGGGTTTGGATCCTTCCAAAGGTTCCATTAAAGTTTGTAGAATAATGTTCACTTTTTCTATATTTTTTATGAATTTCGTTATGCTGTTTGTTTTTTCGTCATCATAAATTAAAATTGTTCGATAATCTGAACACTCACAAAACTCCAAAGTTTTTATCTGTATAGGAAAAAACATAACAATTATTCTTATTTTACACTGAAAGAAAGGTTCACTTTGAGCGCGTAATATTTTTTTCCAGTAATAAAATTTAAATTTGGAATAGTTGCCATAAAAATAATTTTAGGAATTGTGATGGTAACATTTATATATATTTAATTCTAATGATTAGTTAAAATAATAGAAAAATAATTAGTTAAGTTATAAATTATATAGATAAATATAACGATTATTGAGTTACTTTTTACTTACTAAAAGTAAACGTTGAAAATATGTTTGATTTGAAGATAAAAACGAAGTTTTTTGTATCTATAAAATAAACAAGTAAAATCAATTAAAAGTCACGTACATTTATTTTATAAATTTTCGATAAATGATTCAACACTATCGTATACTTTACCATTGTGTTATTGAAGATGAATAAATCATTATCGTTCATCAACTTCATTATTTGTCCACAAATTGAACTTGAAGTGAGAAAAAAATAATAATGCAATATCAACAAAGAGAACCAATTTTTTTCCATCATTCTTCAATTTTACACACTTTTTTTGATGAAAGGCATATGTTATGTATGGATAAAAAACTTTCAATGTTTTCACAGCTATTCTAGATGAAATCATGTTTTAGAAAGTAGTAGAATATACAATGATGAGATATTTATAGAATTATTGTTGATATATTGAACAAAAAGACCCTTTTCAAGTTTTATGTACGATACATATACAATTCAAATACAAATTATCTCTTAATGTCATTAAGGAACATTTTATTCAACCCTCGCAGCAGAAAACCTTCAATGACTCGTCAAACTTTATGCTACCCTCAATTAGAAGTCATTTTTAGAAATGATATTTTTTCAAGTGTATATTATATTTATTTCCCATTAAAAACAAAAAAAATTATAACGATGTCGGATATTCGTGAAAACGAGAAAAAAATTTAACTTTCGCTTAGTGAAAAAAATAATTTTTCTGGCAACTAATGAATAACATTTATTTTATACAAACTTTTATAGCCTAATAAAGATTTATGATTGAAAAAAATATTTTTATTAGTTATATTTTCTGCTCAAAATCGACTGATATTCTTATGCCGATTTCTACGCTTTGCTAATGATTGATTTATGTAATATTTTAATTTTTTTGCATTACATCATAAGTGTTGGTATCCATTTTTTTACTGCTTACGCATTTTCAACTCTCTTAGTTGTTTTGAACACCCTTTAATGTGTGTTAAGTGTTTAGAAATGACTCGAGTTCATGTCTCGAACTATATACTTAACATTTTTAATAAAATGAATAATCGTAAGAAATTCATATAGTATTTATCAAAACAAAGTCGTTTTTTTTTAATTATATAATTACCGTACTTGCAATTCTTAGTAAAATATCATAATATTTTCAAACATGAAACTTAGTCAAATTATTAAGTTGAGAAATTCTTTTTCTACTGTCTATAATTGGATATTGAAACAAGTGCAAAAACAGAACTAAATCAATCATTAATATGTCAGAATCCTGGGAAAAAAAATTCAATCCCAAAAGTATTTCCATTTGATAAAACAGATTTAATTCTATTCTAAACAGATGTGATAACAATTGTTCAAATTATACTTTAACAGCATAATTGTATCTAACATACAAATATCTCTGTAATAATTTATATTTATTTCATAGATAACTGCGTTTGTGTCATAGCTGCTACTAAAGACTCATAATATAAGTTTTTCTGTTTAATACTTATACTTACATTTTTATGCAGCAGTTTTTTGTTAATACAAGTTATATTTTTTTAAACTTTCAGTGATATATTGGATATAAAATGAAAGTACTGTTCTTATTCTTTGTAGTGATTGTGGAGTCTTATACGTGGGCTACTTTACTTGATCTAGACATCACGTCAACGGTACAATTCACTAAAAAATTTACCGATTTATCAATTTATAAAAGACATGTTGAGGTCTTGAAATATTTTATTTTAAATATTTCTAAAGTAGAAGACAACTTGGAAACTCATTATATGCGAAATATTGATGAAGAAATTCAGGGAATATTTTTAAAAACTAATCTTATACAGCCTTCAAATGAAGTACTTGTTTATGAAAATCAACAGGAGCAAGACTTTGAAAATTTAATTGTATCGATCGCCGATTATTTTGCTATCATTCAAAATTTTTTCAACAGATTTACTCATAAATTAAAAAATAGTACTGGTAGTTCAGAATTATGTTTACTTCCATGGAGCGATGGAATTCCACAAGGGACGAATTTAGTTGATAGTCTGAAAAGTATTAAACAAGTTACTTCGGGAGTTAATTTCGTTTCTCTTTTCAGCAATATTTTGAACAATTTCAACAGAAATGATTGTTGGGTAAAAAAGTTATTTGAAATACAGTGCCCCTCCAAAAGTGAGTTGAAATATTGAGGTAAAAATTATTAGGTATAGTTCAGTAAGGGTGCAAATAAAAATAGAGGTAATAGAAAATCTAATCTCCCATTTTCATAAAAAAAAACTAGTCCGAATATTTTTTGTTTTTAATAAAAAAAAAATTATAATCAGGGCCGGGCAACCAATTTTTATTCCTTGGACCACCATTGATAAATTTGGAAAAAAAAATATAAATAAGAGTTTTTAATTGACAACAAACTATGTATTATATAGGATAAAAAGAATTATGATCGAATTTTTCGATAATATGCTAAGAAATCGTGAAATCGATTGGAAAGAATTCCATACTGATAACAAATTAGCATAATAACTTTAAAATAGTCTACACGCTCTTTTTCTTTCTTTGAAATCGAATATGTTGAAAAATAGGTCAAATATAAGAAAAGTAAGGTGACAGAAATCTTCGTTACACTGTAGAAAATAAAAAATGTCTTATAAAATATGCGGATTCGAGCAGATAAAAATTGTTCACAATAAAAAAACACAATGACGCATACTTTTTTTTGCCTGTGAATTTTACTTAAATAAAAATTGGTTCAAAATAAGGGGTTAAATTTACTAATTGAATTGCACCTTCACTGGATTAGTATTCTTTTTTTTTTACTTTTGAAGTATATATCTTAAGTACAATGAGTTTAAATAAAAACAATTTCGAATACGTATTGCTTTGTGATGGTATTAGAAAAAAAGTGGTAAATTCGTAAGTATTGATAATAGACGGGAAAAATTCGAATTTTAATGCATTAATAAATTGAAAATTTGATACACAAAAAGTGCATCAAGCGTTTTTAAATTTATTTTAATAAATCAGTACATCTTCTTGAACGTTTCACTTTGCCCCCACGTTTCATTTCACTTGCTTTCAATTGTTTTTAACCGATACATTTGTTATAAATAAAGAGCCCGTTTGCATTTATGCTGCATGGTTGATAACTTTTTTCAGCAAAATAATAAATATCTCGTCGAAAAAACTCAAATACATTTCATCGATCTTATTTTCAGTTGTTTATAACAAATTGAATTGTTATGAACAAATAGAGTTTCTTCCCATTCATGTTACATAGCTAGTAATTTTTTTTCAGTAAAATAACGAATATCAATATGAGTTTCATTGAAAACGGTTCGACAGTTTTTGAGACTACCCCGGACAGACAAGCAGACAACAATTCTAAAAATTGTCATTTACGTTTTAACAGCATGCGAAAAACCCTCTCAGCTTAGTTTAAGATAGTTTTCTCAAAACTACTGACAGACACTTCAATTTAATTTTTTTTATATCAACGAAAAGATTTTATTGACAGCAGTCTTTTTTAAAACGCATCATAGTTTATTTCAACTAACTTTTAGAGGGTACTGAACTTACGACTTTTCATTTTATATTATTGATTAATATATTATTAAAATTATTCAATCTAGATTTCCAAAAAAATATATTGCGATAAAAATATTACAATGCCTGATAAACTGATTTCAATATATCATTATGTAGCTGCTGTGGATCGAAAACATTATATTATGGAATCTTTTGTTCAATTAATCAAATCTGCATGCAATAATGGTAATTCTTTTAATTATAGAATGAATTCAAATATCAACGTTAAACACTTTTTTTTTAGATTCCAACACCGATAATCTTTTGATAGCAAGAGAATTATTAACGACCAAAACCAAAAAATATTTAGAAATTTTGAAAAATGCAATGCTTCACTCCGAACGGGGACTCTATCGCTGTAGCCAAAAAAAAAATGCACAAAGTATTGAATTTCAGATACTTCAAATAGTTCTATCTACTCTATGTTTATAAACATAACTAAAAACGTTTTTTGTGCGTTTTATAGTTTACCCACATTATATTGAATTAAAAGGATTTAAACAAACAGTTGTATTGAATAAACGAGCTCATTCGGCTCAAAATACATGTCTTCTAGCTTGTTCAAATATTAACGATGAAAAGCTTCTTATTTCTCACGCTGACTTTTCAGCAAGACGTGAATATTGTCCGGGAAGGCTTGTTAACTGTAAATCTGGTGGTGATATTGAATTGTGTCGTGCGGTAATAGCCAAATTTAAACAAATTTATTTGATTGATTTTTCGAAACGATGAGAACGTGCAGTGAAAAATTAAATCGATTTTCAGGTATCAGGAAGTTCTAGGTTATACGAATGGATCAAAACGAACTTAACTGGAGAAATTTATGGAGAATTCTCCGAATGCTCGGGTAGTATAGAAATTATGAAACTTTACCAATATGAGGCTTATTCATCTTTTTATTGTGAACCTTGTATTTGCACATGCATTCAAGATACATATTATTCACCTTCCCGATTTGGCATCAGTTTAAAAGAAGAAATCGCTGATATTGAAAAGAATGAAGTCATCACTGGTATTAAATTTATAGAAAAAAATAAAATAATATATCCTCAAATTGAAACAGGGAAGCTTCTACCGGATGGCCATATTCAAGAATTCAGCAATAAATGGAAACCTGTTAATTTGATTAACTCAATGGATAATACACTGAATATTTTTCCCGAACTAAACCAACAGGAATATGTATATTTTGGAAGTTCATCTAAAGACGTTCAATATATTAATCTTGAACAAATTTATCTCACCGATGAATATATTATTACTGGTAAGAACTTTCCTCAACTATTTTATTTACTTTTATCATGACTAACTTTTTATATAAGCCCTTAAACTTAAATTGTAGTTGATTTCATAATAATAATAATAATAAGTAATTCATTCCAACTAATTGATACAAAAGTATACATGTATTTTATTATACCTGGAATTGCTTATTAAATTGTATGCCATTGATATTGATAATTTAGAGGGTAATTTCAAATTGAATTTTATTTTATTTGCTTGAATAAATTCTTTGAAGTTGGAAAGGTTTCAACCGATATGCATTAAAACAAATATTCAAATCGATCAATTAATAATTAGTCGCAAAATTAATCATATCAAGTTATTTAAACAAAAATAACATTCAATTGAATCTCTGAAATCGATTAGTTAACTAAATTTTTTAATCTATACTAAATCTTTTTTTCAGTGTAATATAGAAATTCAAAATGAAACAAAAATTTAATTTTTAATTATTATAGACTGCTAATGAAAAATTAATTATCAACTGTATATTAAGCTACATCTATACCATGAACTGACATGAAATCCGATAGAATAGTTTTTAAAAAAACTGAATTTGCAGTTAATCCATGAACTTTTTTAGGTGTAAAGTTCATCATGGTTAAACAGCAGTCACTGTATACAAAGACAGATAATAATTTCATTTCAATTGCAATTCAAGCTACACATTACGACATAAAAACCGGGAAGCTAGGTAAATATCCAAGCAATTGGATGATGTTTGATTTATTGAAAAATAAAGATCCATGTCGAACCTACCAATATAGGTAAGTGTGACTATCTAAATAAAAAATTATGCAGGAAATGGAAAAATTTTAGATCTCTGTTGATCTATTCTATTTTTTTCCTGAGATTACAAAAAAATAAATAAAACTAAATATATAAATAAATAATATAGATATTAGTAAATAGTTCGACTAAACTTTCCTTTTTCATTAAAATGCATCATCCCGCGATTAATGATTGTCGAAACATTCATCAATATTTGCACATTACTTGTAACACCAAAGAAAAAAATAAAATATACCTATGTAGATTCGACAAGATCAGTGTCTAGATATACGCTGACGTACACAAACTATTACACTAAGAAAATTTTTTGTAAAAAATTACCCTTAATTTCGGGTAACCGCGTAATACCTCCAGAATCTGAGAAATTTTACAAATTTTAAAAAATTTCCTCAAATAATAGAAATCTTTAGCCTTACAAATGAATGAAAAAAATATTCTTTCGCTTATTATGAAAAAAACGGACAACACCTAGTTAAATGAGTGTCAGGCTTAGGATTAAAATTTTCTGACCATATATGCCTACTAGTTTCGCTAAAACGCCTGTCGCGTTCGAACGTGTCTAATAAATAGTGAAAGTGTAATAATCGAAAATTCAAAGGAACGACAAGCTTTCAGCAGATCAGCAGAGTTCAACCTCCAGTCTATTGTACTGGATACACTCCTCTACACACCCTCGAGGAATCGAACACGAGTGATAACCAACCTGTCAACATGGACAACACAGATCAGGAAGATACTAACTCTCCAGACCAAGCGGGACGAAGCCCGGACGACCGATCCAACCTAAGTCTTGTGTTGTAGTAAAACACAGGTGCCAACTCACCCAACAATTGGCAAATAGCCAGAAAAAACCACAGTGGTAATGTTAAGCGGAAAAGAATAAGCTTACCAATAACAGAGAACGAACAATCACCAATAGAATCTAACAGATTCTTCCCGTTAACCGCTATTACTTAGAATAAGCAGGCACTTCAACAAGCAAACGAACGAGACAACAATAACACTCAAGGTCCACCAAATCAAAACAAGAAAACCCCAAACCCGCCTCCAATATCTATTTCTGACGTGCAGGTAATCCAAACACTATCGAGCAAAATCAAGGAAATAACAAAAAAAGACTGTTTCATGTATAAAACCATTGATAAAGATGGTCAAATAAAGATAATGGCCAAGTCAACTGAGGCATACAGGAAAATTATTAAAATATTAAAGCAGGAGCATGCTGTTTTTCATACATACCAACTTAAACAAGAACGTGCGTACCGAGTTGTCATAATATCTCTGCATCAATCGGTACCACTCGAAGACATTAAAATCGCGCTGGAAGAAAAAGGTTTCCAAGTCAGAAACGTCTCCAATATCTACAAGAAAGGTACACGAGACCCCCTACCACTATTCTTTGTGGGTCTAAAACCCAATCCTAACAACAAAGAAATTTACCACCTCAAGGACTTTAAAAAAGTAAGAAGTATAGTTCAATGTACCCGCTGCCAATTGTATGGACACACAAAAAAATACTGCAACAGAGACTTCAGATGCGTTAAATGCGGAGATACCCACAACACAACGACCTGCCGTAAGAATAGGGACACATCAGCTACATACGCACTATGCAACGGACCTCATCCGGCAAATTATAATGGATGTAAGGTGTATTAAAATATTATTAAGAGAGATAATCCGCTCAATCGTCCTAGATGGATCAACCAAACCACAAACACTCATCACAGTCTGATATTAAATCAAGACCTACATTCACAATCTCCACCAAGAATCAACCTCTCCCCACCACACCCCCCTGTCCAAGAAACCAGCAATCGTAAATACGCTAATGTACGTGCTAACTATCCAAAGGTAAATAAACATGACACAGATATAATCTTGATAACAGAAAAGTCGTACAAAAACCTCAAAGCCATAATGAATAGACAGACAGAACTCCTCAACACCATGGTCGGGCTCTTGACCACAGTGATCACAAGTGTAACAAACAAAAAATGAATATACTCTACCAAATTGCCCTTTGGAATGCAAACGGCTTAGCCCAACATAGACAAGTTCGCACATTCCTTGAAACCAACAAGATAGACATCCTTCTAGTATCAGAAACACACTTTACAGATAAAAATTATTTTAAGATCTCAGGATCAAATCCATGCTTCCCCCGTCCGAAGGACGGAAATTGAGTACCTCGCCTATTAAGGCATTACTCTGGGAAATTACAACTCTACTCTCTTCGCGATGGCGTTTCCCGGGACGCGTATACCTGCACCTTGAAACAAGCATAGGGATACACGTAGCAAGCCCGAGGCCTTACAACATACCACTACGAGTCCGACCTCAATTGGCCAGTTGTACCTAGTCCTACATGTCATATTTTGACTTTGCAGCCCCAGGCACAGGGCTTGGAATTTGGCCTCCCGTAGCACCAACTTTATCCGCTTTGGTCAGCGGTCGCTAACGCGTCTCGCGCTCGGCGTGTTCGGAGTGCCCATATTCAGACTACCATATAGGGTAGTACGAAATGGGGCACGATGTGTTACGCGACATATCTTAAAGGACAAAAACATCTATGTAAACCCGGGGACCATAAGATCCCAGGATATCAAACATATGATACACAACATCCCTATGGTATGGCACACGGGGGGACCGCTATACTTATCCGCGAATCAATATTCCATAATGAGCTACCCAAATACTCTAAAGAAATTCTACAAGCAACAAGCGTGACCATTAATGACTGGCTAGGTCCGCTAGCCTTATCACCAGTCTATTGCCTACCTAAGCACAAAATTACAGAAAAAGATTTTTCGGAGATTTTTAAATCACTGAGAAATAGATTTATAGCAGGGGGTGACTATAATAGTAAACACGAATTCTAGGGCTCACGATTGAACACAACAAGAGGAAAACAACTACTCAAATCAATAGGAGACAACGGCGACGATTCACTCAGTACAGGCTCCTCGATTTACTGGTTAACTGTCCTTAATAAAATCCCCGACATCCTTGACATATTTATTACTAAAGGAATAAGCAACAGAAAAATTAGCCTCACTCCGAGCCAAGACTTTTCATCTGATCACTCACCAATTATACTCACTCTCGACGCTGGGGCGATCACCAAACGTACAAACCCAACCCAAGACAAAGCTGAAACTTATGATGAGCGCTTAGAAAAAGTGTTCCAACCAGCACCATTGAACTCAACAGAAAATGACTCCGATAATGAAATTTTACAATTCTTGGAATCCCCACTACCAGTCGATGCACCGATAGAACACTTTTTTCCATCTGAAATATCTAAAGCAATAAAAAACGAGCTGAATCCAAAAAAAACACCTGGCTACGACCTTATTACTCCAAAAATAATAAAAGAAATGCCTAAAAAAGCTACTGTCTTCATCATCAACTCGTTCAACGCTATTCCGAGAATCAATCACTATCCAAGTCAATGGAAATATGCTGAGATAATAGTTATCCTCAAACCAGGCAAACCACCAGAACTTGTCTCCTCTTATAGACCATTCTGTCTCCTGCTAGCCCTGTCTAAGTTATTCCAAAAACTACTCCTTGAAAGAATTAATCATGCAATAGAAGAGAATTAGATTATCCCGAGTCATCAGTTCGGGTTCAGAAATAAGCACTCAACCATTGAGCAGGTCCATAGAGTAGTCAACCTTATAAATGATACTCTCGAAAAGAAAAAATACTGCATAGCTGTGTTCTTGGACACAGAACAAGCCTTCGATAGATATTTCCAAGTGCAATGTGGACTGCACACAATTTTCACCCAATACAATCAGGAGTCCCTCAATGAAGTGTGCTAGGACCAACACTCTACGCCATATACACAGCAGACATTCCTACTCCTGAAAGAATTACAACACGGTGGCAGTGTTAGACGCACGAGCGAAGCGAATGCGTTTACTGCCACCATGGACATCGGCTCGTTACCATCCGTGTTGCGTATGCTAAATTGTAAATGGATTTCTTTACCGTTATCCAACTTAATCTTCTTTATTTGCTCCGTTCTTCCTTTTTCCTCTTCTTCATTGTGGGCGTTTCGAACTTATTACCCGATCATCTTCTGAATCTTCAGATCCAGTACTCGACTCTTCAATCATATCCTTCGCATTCAAAGGAATTGATGGCGTCAACGTACCTGATTGGTTGATGTCTTGAATTTCCTTCATTATTTTTTTTGCGACTTTTTCTTTACTTTTAATTGAATTGTCGATGTATGTGGCAGCTACAGCATCTGATTTCCAGCCTCCATGACGCTTGATCTCTAAGAGATTGGCACCAGAGTCCGCCAAAAGTGTTGCTGACGTCCTTTGGAATGTATGACCCGCATATAAATCTGCTTCCGGCAATTTTAAATAGGTTGGAACCGTTTTTGGGATATTTCCGAAAAAATTGATTCCAACAAACTGGTTGATGCATTTCCCGTCTCGATATTGGAGAAAGAATTTTTCTGTTGTTGCGTCTTTCGAACGGAGTTCCGCATAATTTTATATATGTTATAACATTCGTCAGTTATGACAAAGGTCCGAGGCTTGTCATTTTTTGTTTGAGGTATGTTTACGACGACCATATTTCCTGTATCTGTAATGTTCTTCATGACTATGTTGCATAATTCTTTTCTTCGACATGCTCCCTGAATTTCAAAAATTAATGCTACCTGTTGAATAATTAGGATTATTAATTGAGATTAAAGTTCAAGTAATTAGGATTTATTAAATCAATTTTTATTATACCAATTTTATTTTCCTTTATCCCAAAATAATGACTCTCCAGAGCTTCATTTAAAAATTTAGAAATTTCTGCAGCGCTCAAAACCTTTGCCTTCTTCGCCGTATACCGCCCTAAATGCTATCAAATTAGAATACTCATAAATGTTTATTTCATGTTTTTAGTTGATTAACTTTTTGATCATGGAAAAAATTGCCCACAAACTTGTTGGTTTTTGATTTTTCGATAATTCATAAAAGTAGGATAACATCACGTCTTCGGAAAATAAATTAATTTTTCTTCCTACTCGCCATTGCATAAAATTATTGTACGCTTTCTTATATGTACCGCGAGATCTGTCCGGCAACAAGTTGCTTTTCACATATTCCGCTTTTAATAACACATCACTTGGCACACCGTCACTTTCTGAGTCACTTCCACTATCAGAAATGATAGTGTTATTACACATTGTTTTTTTTTTCATTTTATTTAAAATAATTTTTATCACTTTGGGAAAACGCAAGATTTTGCTCAACTGCACTCGTAGGTATTCTTGGAAAGAATGTTTTTTAAACAAGAACTGTATTCCAAATGACGAGAAGATTTTCATAAAAAGTAGAAAGGAAAAATTTTTATTGTCTTTTAAAATAAACATTGCAACAATGTTTCAGTTCGTTCAAAAGTACTCAATTGTTATAAAATAAATGGGCAAAAGGATGGGATTTTCCAACCAAGTATTTTAAATTTGTTGGTAAAGTTGACTAACGTTAGTTATTCCTAAGCCTCCGTGAGTAATCCTTAGCTACCCGTGCGTTTCATGGCTCACAGACCTACTGTGGGCAATCGGAGTGTTACCGCATGGAAACCCGTAAAATAACCGTAAAAAATGTCCCTAATATCTGTTAAAATTTAAACAAAAATTTTGAGGTAAAACTTACTATGAATTGCTCGGTGAAATTTACTCAAAAACCGACAATAAATTAGCTTTACCGAACGACTTGATACATTTTACCGACATATTATAGTTAATTTTTCAAGAAAATTTCTCTCAGTGTATAAATCTACTAAGATCGGAGTGGATTTACGCAGAATAACCTAGATCTAATTTTACTGAAAAATAAATCTACGTAGAGTCGTTTTTTTTTGCAAATGCAGTTTCTGACTATAACACATGCTTAGAATGAATAATATAAATTGATAAAAGCGGTCTTTGTACATACAACAAAAGCTATTAAAATGACTTGTACTCAAACAAATTTCTTGTTCAGTACGATCGTTATTATTATTTATATAAAATATAATTTATTGGAATTAATAAGACTTATTTTTCAGGAGAGAACTGATATTTCCAGATTCAGATAATCCACTGAAGTATGATGAATTTGATTTTAATTCCATCAATGGAGACTACGTTGGATTTTGGCCTTCTAGTTTAAAAAAAGATGCTGGACAAACAACTATTCCATTATTTGATGCTAATCCAGTGTTTGGTATTCCGAGATTTCCCCTAGGTGGTATAGGTTTATATCATAAAGGGCCGATCAATTCCGGAGGCTTCATTTCCTTAAAAATTGCCGGAATTGATTATTTTAAATCAATAAATACGATTATTCCGTCAGAAGATAAAATTGATTTCGATTCAGTACTTTTATCATCAAATACAAATTAATTTTTAATGTATACATATGTATTCATATATTTCGTTTTTATGCAAGTAGAAATAAAAAAAAAAATTACAAAAATAATAAAGAAAGAAGGATTGAAAGTCACTTATTGTTTATATTCAGTTACATTTTAACTTGTTGAATCATCACTTCTTAAATTTTGCGTTTATTGCCAAGAAGTTATTAATTTTCCATTGGGAAGTTATCGTAATGATCCGATTTGGTGACTTAAACAGATCTCGACCTTTCGACATGTGGAGAGTTCACATTAAACTAATACTAACTTAAATCTAAACTCAATATCTTAAAACTTACTAACTAACTCAAAATACTCTCAACCCAATACTTAAAACTAAACCTCAAACTTATATTTAACTTAACTGAGATGTTTCTACAAAATCAGGATCCTTCTGAACAGGGCGTGTCCTGGCCCTCGGTTGTGTAGGTTGTGGAGAGGGGTCGTATCCAGCCAACAAATTATAAATAAATAAAAGAAATAAAAAACAAATTAAATAAACTAACTAACGGGATGAGTTGAAGGTCCTCAAACTACAAGAAATAAATTAACAGGTTCACATATTTTTAATTCTCGAATTTATTATCATCACTTTTACTCAATCAGGTTTTCTTAACACTTACGGGAACTCACAATAGTATTATCTCAATTCCCTTCATTAAACAATCGATTAACGCTATGACAAACTTCAAACTAAAACTTTAACATGTTACAATTTCTGGAGCTCAAAGGAATCTGACACAAACTAACTAAAGAGTATTTCTTAACAAGAGGTTTCTCGATCAATCATAGCTCAAAATCCTAAACTCAAAACGCAAGATTTTAACATTTTAACAAACAGACAAATCTTCAAATCAAATTAACTAAAATAAATCATAATCTTCTGGATCAAAACCTGCAATTAAACTTAACCTAACGAGTCCGAGAGCAAACCAAGCCTCATGGATTTTCTTTTATTCAACAAAATATTTTCAACTTACTACAAATTTACCTTTTAACCCATTTCAAAACCAATTCTCAATAATTTACAATTTCCGTAGAGAGCTTTCGATATTCTAACTTTTGTCAAACCCAGTCCTGGTTGTCCGGGATTTTCGTCTATTTGAAGTGAAGATTAATGTGTCTGATCTTTATTCTCCTGACTGAAGTCTTCTCTCTCAACAAGATGGTAACGCTTAACTGTCTATGAGCTCAGTTTACACTCGACACTCCATAGGCACAGCTTGCCACCGACTGACCACAAGCACAGCTCGTCATCAACAACCTTCCAAAAACTATTTCTCCGAAATCCTTAATCTTCCATTTCTTCATTCTCTTATTTTTCTTCGTCCTCCAATCAAAAATGTTTTCAATTTGTCAAATCATATTTCTTATTGGTGGCTATCTTCACATGACTTCTCCCAGACTTTCATATGGAGGGGTCACGTAAAACTAATGTGCACCAAAACTTAATCCTAATTCCAAAACTTAATGTCTAACTCAAAAAATTAATCCTACGACCTCTTCCACACTTCCATCTTTTTCTTGGAGTCCCATTTTCTGGCAACAGCCTCGTGACTACACCCCTTAGGGTTAGGACATCTCCCAGCATGGAAAAATTGCAGGGTGACCCATTGCTTTTGGTTCTCTTCTCCACTACAGCCTCCCAACTCTCCTCTCAAGAGTCCATATGGTTGACGAATTTACTTGCTGAACTTAACTCTGCTTCTTTTGTAGTATTGAGACTTCTAACACAAATTTTAATGACTAACTAAATCCCTTAGCCATGGTTTGCATTAATAATAATTAACAGATAAACACCAATAATAACTCAATGAACAATAACCAATAACAAATCATAACTAACTATTCTACGTCACAGAATACTTATAAAGATCATAATTTTACATAAAATACATAGAGATAAATTTAGATAACTATTGTGACTTATGAATTAAGATAAAAATAATAGAATAATGAAATGATTAAATAATTTAGCGTAAGGAAACTAATTACTATCAATAAAGACATGTAAAAATATGTACAGTTGGACTGTAAAGTCAGTATGATTGCTCAAGTGAGCGTTAAATAACTACATTTTTTTTGTAATTCTTACTAACTGGGCTTTTATTAGCTTCAAAACTTAATAAAATATTGCTAGAGCTAGCAATGGGATGTTATCCAAAAAATAACGTCACAATATATATGTATATGTATATATTTTTGACTCAAAAATTAATTGAGGTATTGACTTCGGGCCAATTTAATTCGGTAGAGAATCTGGAGAAAAAGAGCTGAAAGGAGTTCAAATATTGTCTGTCAATTATTTTTTGTTTTTACAAAAAACGAAATCAACATTTAAAACTAGCAAAGATTTTAAATCAATAACTCGATAACGATTAGTCCTACGATAAAAAGTCAAAGTAATTATTTGTAGCAAATTAATGAGAGACCATTTTATGTACTCTATTTTTCGTCGAAACACTTACCGTTCACAAGACATTTTAAACGCTACACCGCCCCAACAAAACTGTCGTCGCTAACCTTCGACTGATGGATGTAGGCCAGCTTAGAAACCCAAGTGACCGTCCTGATGAACTCTACAAAATCTTATGATGGGCGCCAGGCAGTCCTCAAACTGCCGTTCATAAAATAATGAGGAATCTCTCTATTTTAACAATAAACAATACTTCAGTATTTATCTCAGGGATTGGGTCTCGTTCATTTATCGATTTCTTTTTTTAATACCTTTACGTGACTCAATTTATTAATAAAATTCAATTAATTCCACAAAATGTTCATATATTTGCCGACTATCATCTTTATGCAATTTCTCACAATTACTTTCTATTTCCCTACCAAGATTTTCTATTCTACTACACACACATACATTCAATTACAATAAAAATTTTCATCATACGATAAAATTTTCTGCGCTTACTGCTTGTTAGGTTTAATCTACAACGTTGCTGGACTTCTGTTGATCTCTTTTCTATGGATCAGAACAGCCCCTTCAGGCACGTTCCAACAGGCTTAAATTTTTCCAATACAACTTCTGGCACTTCAATCTCTCTAATTCTCCAATTCCTCTAGGCCTTATCTACCCAGGATACTTGGGACGTCTTATTTACTTATTGAAAATCCAAGCGGTACCGCTGCCAGACTGATACTGATTTGACCATTGTTCTGCTCGTCAATCGAAGGTGTTCATTTATTGTAGCTACAATATTGGGCGTTTGGCGTTGCCTAATTATTCATTTTATTTCTATTGAAATGAATGAGAGGATAAAGCTTAGTTAGATATCAATGTCCACAAGAAAGGGACGATTGTACAACCCGTAGAACGGTTAGTCCTACGAAGAAAGTATAAGGATGTTTTTTGACTTTCAATTTTCTTTACTTCTAAGTAAATAATGAAAAGAAATAAATATTTCCAAATGTAAAAAATTAACAATTAAATATTTTTATATGATCTTTTTTTTTTCAAAATGTTAGATTTTTGTGTAAATTAATGAAGTAGGAAAAAATATGAGATTTAGCTAGTTTACCATTTTTTTCAGTTTTTTGATTCTGCATAAAAAATGGCGTGACTGATTTTACTTAAAACCTACTTAGTTCTAAGTTGCGTAATTATACGTCGAATGCAATTGGTTCCAAGTCGATATCATTTTTTTGTTCTCGAAATAATCGAGATGAAAAGTGAATTCGAACATACATATTGTAAAATATTTGTTTTTGACTGAGACTTGAGTTGACCGCACGGATTCTTTCTTTTAATTAATTGCTGTCAATCTTTAATAAACCTTTTTATTTATTTATTAATTTGCCGAAGTTGTTATTGGGTCTTATTTTACATTGGTGTCAGAAAGTGGTTCGTTTCGCGTGCCGTGAATTGTTTTGTTGGTGATTTTTAAAAGAATATAATAAGTTTTAATAAGAAATTATGGGTAAATAATATTTTTCTATTACTAAACAAGTTATTACAAGAAGCATTGAGCTAATAATATTTTTACTTTCTGAATTGATTTATAAGAAACTATCAAATTGTTTTTCATAAGATGCTATCGAGTAAGTGACGCCGTTTGATTTTCCGTCCAATTGTATACGATTCTTTCAGAACGAATATCATCAGATTATTATTTATATTCTACTCCCAGTCACCTCATATATAAATAAAAAAAATTAATATCATTAATCGACTCAGCATCAAAAACTTCATCGATTGCTGCTATTTAATTTTGCAATTTCTTCTTTGTGTCACTTAGAGTGATTACTCGATACAATTATGGTGTTACTTATTTTTTCTAAAGTCTTAAACATGCTGATCTTGTGACATCAGTTATTCTTTCGTATATTTTTAATACATAAACATAACCCTCTTCATCTATCTTATAGGTTTTGTTGACGTTGTGTTTCGTTCAGGCGCGTTTATTATAATAAAATATTCGCAATGAGTGTGACAAGCGCTGACATATAGCTTTGTCTCTCTTACAGCAGTATCGTACCCGAAGTGTGTCCAATACTTTTATCGTTTTGGATTTTTTTAACCTTTAGAGGTCAATAACTTCTTACCTGTTACAGGTAAGGCTGCGAAGGTGCAAACTTTTTCAAGTGAAATCGTAGCCGCTACAATTTTTGATGAAAACATTTTTTTATATCTGTTAGAGTTCTGGAAAAAAATGAGAACAAACATGAAAAAATTCATAACAAAGCGTTTAAAGAGTGATTCCAACCCTTGCCCGGTGTCGAAGATCAATTTTTTTTTAGGGGAAACTAATTCTACATCTCCTACATATTTGTATCAAAATTTTATCCATTTCTATATTTCCGTGGATAAAATCTTAAATGACTGGACTATTTGACTCGATCAATTTCCTATTTGAATTCACTACTCTTATTGCCTGTAATGAAAGCATTAATTCCACTTCATTATTAAAACATGTCAGATCCTATTTAAATATATTTAATTATTTCTTTTTTAATAAACAGCAATTTTTTTAATTATATTTT